ACGTATTTTGAAAGACATTTTTTTAAAAATAAAAGTTCATGGACTTGTTAATAACCCCTGAACTATATTTCAAAGATCCCTTCCTATAATTTTATATTCTGAGTTTCCTATTCAATCCTATAAGCATTTATGAAGACTCTTTTGTGTGCAAGGCACTGTGCTAGACACTTGTCATGGAAAGACACATTTAATCTTAAAATATTTATCACTTGTCTCAAGGTAACACAGTTAGTTGATCAACCAGCATTTATGAAGTGCTACCTATGTGCCAGGCCCTGGAGACACACAAAAAACCTGAAGACAGTCTCTATTGTCAAGGAGCTTAGTCTTGGAGGGGGGACATTTAAACAAGTACATATATATGTATGCATGTGTGTATGTATATATGTGTGTGTGTGTGTGTGTGTGTTCATATATATAATATGAAGACTAGATTGGTAATAACCAAGCAAAGAAGGTATGAGCATTAAGGGGGATTGGAAGAAACTTTTTAGAGAAGTTGAGATTTTAGCTGAGACTTGAAGGGAACCAGGGAAGCAAAGAGGGGGAAATGAGGACCTCCCAAAGCGTGAGTGTCCTTGCCACAGAAATGAAGTTTCAGGGTGTGGAGGTAAAATGGAGAGCACGGTCATTATGTATTGAATAAGCTCAGTTTTCTTAATTGTCACCTAGAGTTTACTAATGAATGTCTTCTTGGGTTCCCTCTGGCATGTCCATAGTGATAGTTCTCCCTCAAAGACAGAGAATGTTTCCAAATGGAATTAAAAGAAGGAGGGAAACAAAGATTGTGTTGTCCAGGTCTATGATTTCCGGGTGATTTCGCTGTGTAGCTTGTATATTGGAGGCAGAGAAGGGATAATACCTGAAAAAAAATAGGCCTGATTAGGTTTTTCACTGCCAAACTGTAAGGAGTAGAAAGAATCATGGTGGAAATCTGAAAGGCCCATATGTCACCATCCCTAGCCAGGAGTGACCCACAGTGACAGTATGTCTCTGACCTTAGCAACTGGTTCTGAGTTCCTGGCATCATATAGTGCATCCCTGGCCTCAGTTGGAGGTTCAATGCTGCTTTCTGATTCTGGGATCAGCCTCCATGGTTCTTTAGCTGACATGCTGCTGGAGAAAGCTCTGGCTTTGTTTTCACCAAATGTTCCTCAGTTCACTGTCAGAGGTTCTGGGAACCCAGTCATAGTCTGAGCTCTCTCTGAAAGAAGGGAGTTACCCATCAGAGCTTCATAAGAAACTATATTCCACTAGGAATCAAATAAAGATAGTCTTATTTCAAAGGGTTAGATAAAGGACCCTTCATGGTCTTCCCATTAAAAAAAACATTCCTCTTTCTTGGCCAATATGATGCTATTCTTAAAATAGTTGGAAAGAACATGAAAAATAGGCCCAATGTGTCTCTTTCCTGCACACAGCTGGTCTGTATGATTTATACGGAGAATTTATTTTTGTACTCTGCTAAAACAAAGTTCGTTCAGAAAGAGACATACAGCACTTACTACCGAGCTATGAAAAGAATAGCTAAGCAACCTGCCATGCATGCTAAACTGCGTGGTTACTGGGCATTCAAATGCCTTTTTCTGGACCAAGAATGAATCACAAGGACTCATCCTATGTCTAAGGTTCCTTCCAGTTCCAAATCTATAATCTTATAACCCAATCATTTTTCATCAAAGGGAGCAAGTGCTAATGGAATGCAAACTGCATGGGGCAGGTTTTTTTTTTTTAATCCCATGGAAGAATATCCATCATTGCCTGTTATCAAATAGATGATTGAACCTGATACTTTCCCTTTCTAATATTTGGTAAGAATGAATAAACATGCAATTTGCAGCACTTACAGAGATGAATCTTGAGACAAGGAGATTATAACTGTGTGCATCATTACAGAAATATTATCTGTCCCAGGAGTTTACAGACCAAGCTGCACAAATCCCATCCCCACCCCATCCCCATTTCTGATATATACATTACAATATAAACAAGAAAAAGGAGAGTGAGGATTATCTCTTTCCTCCATGTCCTTTGCCATTTTTATTTCATGTTTTGTAGACATTTTTGGAGACTGAATTACTTTTGTAAGATACATGCAACAAGGCACAAAAAATAGACCATGGAACCATTTCCAAATGAATGTTGTAATGGGAATCTTGGTCTGCTTTGATATCCACAAATAATCCCCCACACACTCCACCACCTCCACATCTCAACCTTTCATTCCATTTTTCCTTTTCCATCAAAATCTTTATTCTATTTTAACCAATAGCAAAGTTTATTTTTCTCCCTTTCCTCCTCAGTTTGAGTAGAAAGGGTAAGAGGAGTAAAAATGGACCCAGAAATGACCTGAATGAAGAGAATTCAAGTCTTGGGTAATCTCAGGGATGACTATTCAACCTGTGAATCATGTGGCCTAGGCAGACAGAAAAATCTGAAGCCATACTCAAGCACAATTAGCAAGGCCAGTGTGGGAGAAGGAAGCCAGGTTAGAAGTCACATCCATTAATAAGTAGACCATGGAGTAAGAATTTTAAAAAAGGAAACAAGGAGAGAGATTGAAGGTAAAGAAAGAGACCAGAGGCTCTGAGAACTCAGAACAAGAGGGATAGACGGCATTTTCTGAGCACTATAAGGCTTACAACATGGTAGTGGTACATCCCCATTTACCAACTGAGGAGGAAACTTCAGAGAAGTCAAATTGATTAATCCTGATTATGCAATTTATTAATGATTGAGTTAAGCTTTGAGTTTGGGGTCCACACTTCTAGGCCAACTTTCTTTCTGTTATCTCCCTAGAACTGGTGTAGGAGGCAGGAAAGTAGAAAGCTAACAATTACAATAGTGGGTACACACTGGACAATTAGGGGTGTTTTCTTTTACTTTTAGTATGACATTTCTGAGATTAGTGAAGAATATCCTTAATGGATGGTATTAAGGTAGAGCGGATCAAGGGCTAGGTTTTGTGTTAGGCAGGTGGTTGTGGTTCAGTCATTTCAGTCATGTCTGACTCTTTGAGACCTCTTTTGGCATTTACTTGGCAATGATAATAGAGTGATCTGCTATTTCCTTCTGCAGATGATTTTACAGATGAGGAAATTGAGGCAAACAGGATTAAATGACTCACCCAGGGTGACACAGTGAGTAAGTATCTGAAGCCAGATTGGAACTCAAATCTTCCTGACTCTAGATGTGGTGTTCTAGTTGTGCCTGAGTTAGGAAGTCCTGGGTTCAAATTTCTCCTCTGATACTTGCTAGTTGTGTGACTATGGGCCCCCAGTCAATTAAGCTCTCTGAGCCCTGGTTTCCTCAGCTGGAATGGAGATCATGATAAGGCTTATACTACCTGCCTCATAGGGTCTTTGAGAAGCTCAAATGAGATAATCTGCAGAAGCACTTTGCAAATGGCATCATGTAAACGTGTCATGTAAACAGTAGGTTTTATACTTCAGTATAAATAGTACAATTGTTTTTGCTCCTAACTTCGTGGTCGCCATTGGTTCTCTATGCTGGATGGTCACATTGGGAATGGACTGGACTCCATATGTCCATCTGCTGCCCTCCCATTGAAGGGTTGGGCATGTCACTGCAACAGCTGCTCCTTAATCCACCACGCTGGCCCAGCATTCTGGAGTTGGACCAATGACAACCCTTAGCCAGCCAATCAAACCAACATTAATTAGTTAAATAAAACAAAACCATTAATTACTTGAAGCTTAGCGCATAGGCTTAGGGAATCACAGAACTGGAAGGGATCATTGTAAGTGTCCAGCCCAACCCCCTGCTATCTAGATATGGATGCCCTCTCCAAAGTTCTTGAGGAAATGACTCCCGTGAGGTTTGCTGTTTCACTGTTTTTCCATTTGGGAGCAGGCTTTTTGTTTGACAGAACTTTTTACTGATTCTTCAAGTTTTAACTTGATCCTATTTGTAAATCAGACACTGTTCATTCAACATGAGAAACAGATCCTTTCCTCTTCCTCTCTGATGTTAGCAAATCCTAGGCTCCAGTTCTGCTTCTAACAAATACTTCCAATCTGACCTTGGGCAAGTCATCAGATAATAATAACAATCAATCAGTAAACACTCATTCAACATCTGCCATGTGCCAGGCACTGTGCTAAGTACTAGGGATACAAAAAGAGGCAAGAGCCAATCCCTGCCCTCAAGGAGCTTACAGTCCAATAGGGGAGACAACATGTAAGCAAATATACATGAAGCAAGCTATACACAGGACAAATAGGAAGTAATTAACAGAGGGAAGGTGCTGGAATCAAGAGGGGTTGGAGAAGGCTTCCTCTAGAAGATGAAATTTTAGTGGGGACTTAAAGGAAACCAAGGAGGTCAGTAGTCAGGGCAGGAGAGGGAGAGCATTCCAGACATGGGGAGCAGCCCAAGAAAAGTGTCTGGAGCCAAGTCATAAAATGTCTGTTTGTGGAACACCAAGGAAGCCAGTGTCACCAACACATGATGGGGAGTAAGGTGTAAGGGCTAGGTCATGAAGAGATTTGAATCTCAAATGGGGCATTTTGCATTCGATCCTGGAGGCAATAGAGAGCCACTGGAATTTATTGTGTAGTTGGTTAACACCTTTGGACCCATGCTTTAGGAAAAATCACTTTCGTGGCTGAATGATGATTGGATTGGAGTGGGGAAAGGCTTGAGACAGGCAGACTCACTAGCAGCTATTGCAATAATCCAGGTGTGAGATGATGTGGATCTCTCCCAATGAGGAGCAGTCTCAGAGGAGAAAAGGGGGCATGTTGGAGAGGTGTGGTTAGTCATCAAGTTGGGTATGACAATGTTTGTCCCAGTTCTTCTGTTCTCATTAACTATACCAAGAAATTTTGTGCTTCCCTTTCTCATTACACAAGAAGACCAAGGAGGCACGAGATTTTTTTTAAGCTACTAATTTTCATTCCATAGAATTGAAACAAGAAGACTGATTGTAGTGAGGTTGAGGAAAGTGAGTTTTTCCCCCTCTTTTGTCTCCCATCCAGCCACCTCAACATCCACAGCTGGAACGAGCCATCTCGTCAAATGCGCTGAGAAGGATAAGACTTTCTGCGTGAATGGGGGAGAGTGCTTCATAGTGAAGGATCCATCAAACCCCTCCAGATACTCGTGCAAGTAAGATCCTGCTTCCCTCTTTTCAAGATTTCCTTCACAGCCCCTGCTGCTGAAGGAGCTTCCTTCTTTCCAGTGAATATTGTGTCTGGCAGTTGCTTGTGCCAGCTTGGTCATGTGGTTTAGAGGGACAGGCTTTGGGTAAATGTTCCTGCATCTGGTGGTCATTTCCCCAGTCCTTCTGGCCAAGCTGTGTGTGCTTATTTCTTCCCTTCTGGTTGGCACTTTGTGTTTACATGAGGATGAAGAGTCCCCAGAGGACCAAAGCATGAGACCGATGGTGCCATGCTTTTGTACAGTGTGTGAAGTAAGCTCAGTGCCACTGACCATGCTTCATCTCAGGCGATGTTTGTGACATGGCTAGAATACTGCTCTCCTGCCAAGGTGTATGTCACTAAGATAACATGCTCATTAGCCTTCAAATTTCCAAATTGGGTAACAATGATTTTGTAGAGAATTCAAATGAAAAGGTTGATCAATTTAAAGGTTGGTCATGCTGAGTGGCTACCTTTCAGAAGTCCATTGAGTACTGCCCATTTTATGTACTGTCAAAGGTTATTTACCAACCCCTTTTTATTAGCACTCCAATTATCTAAGAGGGATAATGAATGCCCTTTGTAAAAACATCCTCACACAAGGGATGGACATGTATCATTTACTCTTAACACTTCACCTATGAAAATGCAGAGATTTCATTGGGCCATGCACTTTTTAATTAAATGCTTGATTAGAGCCAACATGAAACACCAATATAGACAATTAAGCTCATTTAGCTGCTGTTTACATTTAATTTCATTTAATTCAGTGCCTATAGTATGATGTAGAATCACAAACTTGTAGACTCATTTGAGAAATAATTCTGGGCTACATTTGGAAACTTCAGTTCCTGTTTGGAATGCAGGATGACAGAGTCTACCCTCCTCCCCTCAGTAAATATTAGCTAATTAGAAGGATGTGGCTCAAGACAGGCAGTGCCTCAGGAAAGCAAAAGAAAATGTCTAGATATTTCACTGGTGTCACTTGAAGGACAATCATTTGTTAAAACTTAGGGAGAGGTATTGATCCAAATGGCTTAACATCAGGTATGTGCTGGGTGCCATTCCAAGTAGAAATTCCCATCTTAGCTTACAAATAAATAAATAAAAGAAGGGAAATAAAGAAACCCTGGGTCATTGCCCTAGAAATGGACCTTGGATGTGCACACGTCAGTCACTGAAGCCTTTACATTACATGTGGACAAAATGGTCTATGGGCCTCAGTTTCCCCATGTGCAAAATGAGGCACTGGGGATTACATGATCACCCAGGTCCCTTCCATCTCTACATGGTATAACTCTCTGCTAGTATCATTAGTCATTTCAGATGGGAAAAAAATCAACAAAAGTCAACAAACTCATTTCTCCATCACTCAATATCAACATCTAGGTGATGAGAGAATTCTGTTTCAGCACCTTTTCAAAGAAGGAAACTTATTTTGTTTGAATGGGAGTGGGGCTAGCCGAGCGAAGGAAAGGAAGGCAGAGACACTATTTACATAAAGGAGCATCAAATAATGAAATCAGTAATCAAAGTCATAATGTCTATAAAGTGCTTTGTAATCTTTAAAGTATCATATCAAACATACACATAGAGAGAAGTAGATGTTGCTATAGCTATAGAAAGATATAGAGACATGGACGGTAGGAAAATCAGAGGGTTGATAGTAAAGAGAATTAGGTTTTATCTTAGCCACTGCTTAGCTGTGTGACCTTGGAAAAATCTACACTAGCTTCCTCCTGGCAGTAGAATACCAGACTAAGAAGAAGACATTCCAGAGTTCTGGGGGTTCTAGGGTTCTTCCAGACCATGTGGGCTTTAGTTTTCTCAGCCATAAAACAAGGCAATCTAATCCTAGCAGGCTCTGATATGCATAAACACGGGCACAGCCCAGAGTCAGGAAGACCTGAGTTCCAGCCTCAGATCCTGTTCTATCTCCTCCTCCTCCTCCTCCCCCTCCTCCTCCTCCTCCTCCTCCTTCTCCCCCTCCTCCTCCTCTAAAATGAAGGAAGCATAGAGAAAGATGTTTAGAAACTTACATGCATTCTGGTGGTATTGAACAATAGGCCAAAAGACAGATATGCTCAGCTCTGCTCACAGCATGCCTCTGTCTAGGTAGATCCTGTGAAGGAAGAGCTAGTTCAGGTGACTTGCCCTATGTCAAGCCATGTCTTAGAAACAGATTCTGGGGCATTCTCTGAGTCTGTGACATCTGGGCATCTCCTATGGTTACCAATGGGCCATATTTAGTTCAAAGTCAGAGACCCTGCCCTGTAATGATGCTCCAAAGTCTTGCCTTGACAGAACACTCACAGGATTTTGACCTCTACTTAAACCCTGGGAAGGGGCAGCTAGGTGGCACAGAGGATAGAACCCTGGCCCTGGAGTCAGGAGAACCTGAATTCAAATGCAGCCTCAGACTCTTATTAGCTTTGTGACTCTGGCTGCATCATTTAACCCTGCTTGCCTCAATTTCCTCATCTCTAAATGAGTTGGAGAAGGAAATGGCAAACCGCTCCAGTGACCCCCAATGGGGTCATGAAGAGTTCAGGCTTGACTAAACAAAAACAAAACACCTTGGAGGTCATCTGGGCCAGATCCCCTCCTTTGACAATAAGAATACAGGAGCCAGGAACCTGTCCAAGGTTGCCCAGCCTGTTGGCCTTCCTTCCCATGTTTGCCTGAAATGCAAAACAAATGCCTCCTTAGGAGCTCAGCTAGCTTGTGGTGCTGGGCGGCTTTCCTTTTCCAACAGAAGAGGGTGCCTTTGATGGTGTTGCAGGCTCTTGGGGGAAACAGTGGCCTTATATTTGGGAGATGCCTGGGTTCCAATGCCAGTTCTCTCTCTGTCTCCTCAGTTGCCTCACTTACAAATGTGACTAATCATAATTGCATCTCTCCTCCCAAGACTGTCATAAGACTGTGAACTCAGAATGGCTACAGAAACACAGCCTCTCATTTGTATTCTAATTCCTGTGCTAATTATGGGCTTTTCAAAATGTGATCTTAATACCCTGCCTTCTACATCATGCAGATCAGAGGCCATATTTTACAATGATATGTTTTTCACCAGACCACTTAGAGGGGAAAAAAGAAAACATAAACTTCAGCACTTGCTGAACATATTTCTGCTTTGTTAGTGAATTCATATTTTCCATATGGCCCATCTGTCAGAGGTACTGACCACATCAGTAGAAAGCAGCTTTGCTCCTGACTGAAGGTGGGCCTGTGAAACACCAAGCTGGGTCATTGTTCAGGACTTCTCTCTGGTTCCCCTCAGCCTCAGGTGTCTGGGGGGGGGCAGGTGGACGACTGGCGTGGCCAGCACTGGGACAGACCACCATGGTGTGTTGGCCCGGATCCAGGGTTGCATGGGGATTTACCAGGTTAAAAAAAACAACAGTGAAAATTACTCTGGAGACAGATTTTTGGGTTGAAGGAGAACCCTGACAATTCTCATCCCTTTGGTGCAATTTTTTTTCTGTATTAATTGAGTGAATTCTCCAGATCATCTAAAGGCAGCAAAAGGCATTGGCTTTCATGAGCCAGTAGCCCTCACCTAACTTCCTTTAAGGTTCTCTGGGTGATGTCCTTACAGCCCAGACCAGGGGAGTTCAAGAACCGTCATCAGATTTGTAACTAGGCTTTCTTGTGCCCAAGGGGAAAACCTTAAAGTGTTCCTGGGGCGCCACAGCCCACCTGCTGACAGCTTAGCTTTGTGTTTAAACTAATATTCTGGCTGCCCAAGTGCTCCTTACTTGTCATTTCTATGCTACTTGCATTTTGCAAGTGTTGTTAACACCCTGGAAGCTCAGTGCTAAATGTAGCACCTCTGAAGCTCAGTGCCTGGCTAAAGCCCTGGTGACCCTGCCCTTGGTACAGCTGACCAAAGAAAACTGAAGCTTAGAAAAGATTATCCAAGGCTCTGGACATTAAGTAGTAGAGCCAGCTCCTGACCCGGAGGAAGGAACTGCCATACATCTCATAAATAGCAAGCAGTGAAGCCATGAACAGCACAGGATAGGGTTCACTGGTCCTAGAGTCAAGAAGACTTGAGTTCAAATCCAGCCTCAGACCCTTCCCATCTTAGTACAAAGCCTAGCAGATGGAAACCCTTAATCAATTCTTATTGACTCTTTACCTGACTCACAGACTGAGTAGACTCCTTATGAAAGCCCCATTCCGTGCTGAGATGGACAGAGAAGGGGGAAAGAAAAAAGAAAACAAAGAGAAACCACTTAATCTTCATCTCCTCACCTGCAAAATGGGGATAATAACTGTACCCAACTCCCAAGATTGTTGTGAGGAGCCAATGAAGTAATATGTGTGCAACACTCAGCACCGTGTCTGCCACATAGGAAGCCTTAATAAGTGAATGTTCCTTTCTTCTATTCTAACACGATCACTTTACCGAGGAGGGCTTAGAAGTACAGGGAGGCTGATTCAATCAATCGGGCAACCAACCTCAATTAAGCTCTTCCTAGGTACCAGGCACTGAGGCCACAAAAACAAGCAAACGACAGTTGCTGCCCTCAAGGAGCTTACAAACTACTGGGGGAGAAAACAGATAGGTAAATGTATATGAAGCAACCTCTATATACGGAATAAATAGGGAATAATAAACAGGGGTTGGGGAAAGCTTCTTACAGAAGGTGGGATTTTAGTTGGGACTTTAAGGAAGCCAAGGAGGTCAGTAGTCAAAGCAAAGGAGGAAGAGCATTCCAGGCATGGGATGCTGGAAGAGGATAGATGGAGAGTCCTATTTGTGAAACAGCCGGGAGGCAGAGTCACTGGATCGAAGGGCAAGTGGTGGGGATGAAGGTGCAAGAAGACAGGAAAGGAAGGAGGGGGCAGGTTGGGAAAGCCTTTCTCTGGTTTGCCCTTGCTCACAAGCTCATTAATAAAACACCAGGCTCCTGACTACCCACTCCCCTTTTTAAATGATTATCACCTCAAGCTACTTGAAAC